GAACATGGCCCATTCGGACTCAATGTCCCCCGCCTCCCCCGGGACATGGGAAAAGTTCTGCCGGAGGCGTTTAAATAGACGCTGGTGAACATGTTGATGCCGTCTACACTGAGGACCAGGCGGCACATCAGTGAGCCAAAAGGCCAAACAAAAATCAAGAACAAAACACCTCTAATTATGTTGAACTTAATAGTGTATGAGACCACTTTTGTTCCTAATTTACATTAATTTTGACACCAATATGTACAGTAAACTGATTACATTTTCAGACGACACCAAGGTATCCTCTCGTTTGTAAATTTCTTTCGTTTGTTCTTATGGTCCTTTTCTATCTCTTCCCCACCGACCCCTGCTGTTTTCCCACACTATATATGCAGTATGGTTCCTTGGTCCATGTCAGTAAACTTACCCAGACCCTGATGCCTGAACCAGCCCTTACAAACACCATCAGGCTTTTTTTGCATGTTTTCCCTGTACTGATACTGAAATAGCTTTGTTTTTGTAGGTCCAATCCCACCCCAAACAATAATAATAATAGAACTAGTTCCATATGGTGAGCATGAGGGCACGAGATACAAGAACAAACAGCCCAGAAGGGGAATGTCTGATTAAGGGAAAGCTATACAAAGGGGGGGAGGGGTCAGTGGGGGAATGGTGGACCCTGCAGGTTCACATGGGCCAGGGGGGATATTCACAGCTGCCTTTCCCTTTCCTTCTCCCTCTTACTTTCTTCCTAGCGTGGGCTAGAAGCAATTTTCGGCTCCATGTGGCCAACCATGAGGAAACCACACTTACCCTTATCCTGTGTGGTACTGACTGCCCCCTACTGGTGCTTGGCGAATTCCCAACAAGCCGTGGAATCACACTCTGTTTTGTCCAGCTCTTCCTATGTCATGTGGCTCTGTTCACTGAGCCACACGAAATGTATCAAATAGCTGATAATATACTGTGGAGAAATAGACCTTTTGCATTAAATTTGAAACTAGTCCTTTTGTAACCAAGTCCATTTTTTTGCTGAAAGGGGAGATCTATAGGAATAGATCAGATTCTCAGTTTAATCTCTGAATCGCCCACGTGGATACTGTTCTGTCAGTGATCATTTCTGTCATGGCTGTACCAAGCAGTCTACTTGGACCGATCACTTAGATAGCGGAGAGTCTATTCTAATATCAGCCCAATTCCTGCTTATTGTTACTCTCATGTAGAAATCCTAACAGTATGAGATACATGGATAGATTCTGCTGTATTGTGCAATTGCATAGATGAGCAGTGAATGAAAAGGCCTGGGCTCTTACAAGCATTACATTTTAAGTAGGTGTAACACATTAGAAAATACTACAGTTCATAATCATATTAAGCCAAATCAGCCATATGTTTGCAGATCACTGGAGCTACTAACACAGAAAGACAAAAGGGGAAGGACACTGAAAATATATGCTGCCCGAATCTTCGTCTTTGGCATTCAGTTAAAGTAAAGCTGCAGCCTTGCCACATATGAGATAAACGGTGGAAAAGAAACAGCTTGGAGGTGAAACACAGCAGTGAATGTGCAGAAGAGCAGGCCAGGGATGCAAAGCAGGCAGAATCCAATGAGTGATGCATTAGCTACAGGGCAAAGGTGCACAGCTAAGCTGCCCTTATATGACGCAACATTTGATTCATGTTTAATCACTCCCTCCCATTCTGATCCTCTTTTCTTGGAAATAAGCTACATAACATATGTAGATACCATGATTCATGTTGATTAATTAACCCCCATCCAGTGTCCCTTGATGAGAGTCACGATGCAGGTCAAAGAATTAAGATCTGCTATGCTGAAGGACACGTATGCCAGTTGTTGTTTTCTGTTATTTCACAACATAAATACTATAGAAATATTATGACACATAATTTGAGGGCATACTAAATAAAGACAAATGATACACTGGAGCTACAATTGAGAGAATCTTAGTCTCATGGATCTGCAGGAGACTGATTCCGAAACTTATCTATTGTCTTAATTTTTCTCATGCAAATATTGGTGGATAACAATGTTTTTATGTGTGTACTATGGTCTCAAAGGTTTCCTTTCACATTTTTCAGTCAGAAGTTCTCCTCGCAGACTACCTCATTAGTTCTGGACTTAATGGCATGACCTCATCCAGAAATTAAATACAAAGTAGGTTAGACTTCATAAGAATCTAAGTCAGTCATTAAGCAAATTTTCATTCATTGTACATTTTAGACCACCCAGAACCATATGGTGTCTTATGCTGACTATGATAGGCAGTGTGGGAGAAATGACAATAAATGCTAAGAAAGGGAAGTAATGCATTTAGGCAAAAACCCATTTACACAGATACTCAGTGGCTAGCTTAGTAGGCACACCTGCTTGTCCATGCAGACAGCCTGCTCCTACAGACAGCAAATTTATACAAGTTTATGAGGTGCCGGTATCGGGGAGCTAAACCTTAGAATGGGTAAGATACATGATCTCAGAAAGTAGTTTTGGAAAGACAAGGGGGTCCTATCTGGTTCTTGGTAGTGATATCCAAAAAACTTGGCACTGGGTATATATCTGTACATTATACAAAAATAAGTTGTACACCATTCAGAATTGAATTGAGAATGGCTTGGAAATTCCACTTTAATTTGTGAATTTGAATTGAATTTCAATTATGGTTTTGAAAACAGGATGCAGAATTGCATCTTGAATTGCAAACTTCAAAAATAGCAAGAAAGTAGAATTAAAATGAAATTTCATATAAAATAAATTTATATACATACTGTATAGTGGTGGTAGAAATTTTGTGAAACCTTTATATTGCAGAATATAAATTATACTGTATTCTATTTTTTTATATTTAACTTTAATTAAATTTTTTAATTTAATATCAATATTCTATTTGTCTTTGCTTTTTATACATACTTAGAAATAAGTAAAAGCACAATAGATCAAAAACAGAAAAGAATCAAAGAAGACGCAATACTATAAAATATTGGCAATTAATTCAGTTGTATCTCTGAATTATTTTATGCGGAGTGTGGCTCTCTGGATTAAGTCTCCCAGCCTGTGTTCAGCAGACCATCATTTCCAATCCAATAACCAGCAGAATAACTATATCACAGTAGTGCCCATAACACCTACAGATGCTAGTAAGGGCATTGTAATTGAAAGCAACATTTCTCAAAAAAAACAAAAATCACTGATCACAAGAAAACACTTTATTTAATTTCTACAGTATTTATTTTTTTCTTTGTGTCTACAAAGAAAAACTTCATGCATGGCATTCTTTTCTAATGGCTACAAAGTTATCGCCCACTAACTTGTAAGAGATCACAGGTCCTAGCTTAAGACTATACTGTAGGTCCACAGATGCTCCAATTTCATTTCTTATATTTACAAGGCAATTGCATCAATGTGGCAGCTGAGCTGTACTTATGTATTCTGGATGAGTTAGGAAATCATTTTAAGAAGAGAGATTTACTTATGCAAGACATCAATTGATGGGTTACATTCATCAATAGATAAAAACATACATTTTTGGTTGTTCATTTTCAAAGTGTCGCACTTAGCACACCAGTTTAATAACTCTTTAGTAGCTTTGGAACAGAAGCAGGAGACTCATAACTAAACAATTCCCTAAATCTGAGATGTAATAACATGTACAAGTAGCAGCATTATTCACAAACACATAAACAAATTGAACTTTTGTAATATAATAATATTGTCACTTTAACAAATTTTGTTGGCAAATTAAAAGAAATACCTTAATACAGGTTAAGCTCCTGGGAAGTGTGTGACTCAGTGTATTATGACTTAGAAGGTAATTGTTTAAAATCTCATGGTCAGTGGAGTGAGTTTTCTTCTGGGCCCTTGAGGACGGCACTAAACCTCAACTGCTCCAGGCACATGGCTGACCAACTGTACATCACTTTGGATATAAGCATCTGCTATACAAATACATACTAACTCTTACTTCATTCATACTGATATGCTTGGAATGTCTACAAAATACTAAGCACTATTACAGACAGCTAAAATAATCTGAAAACCTTCTAAAGATGTTTCATTAATCCACTGTCTACAGGAGACTCTGAATAGAAGAATGGATGTATTGTCTCTGTGCTTTTCCTGAAAATAGTAGGTGCTTCTTTACTCTTAGTGAACATCCCAGCTGCAATCAGCTTCACAAAGCAGTAGTACGAGAAGTGCAGGTGCCGTTGTGATAGGGCATGTCAGAAACCAAGCAGTCTTTCCGAACGTCCTGTACGTCACAGGTGACTTGTCTCTTGACGCTGACGGCACAGTAGTCCACCTGCTCTCCGTCAAGCCCATTGCCCAGCCAGCGAAAGCACACAATTCGCTGGAAGGAACGGCGAAAGTTGTCAGAGACAAAGCCGTACAAGATCGGATTGGCACCACTATTGGCATAGCTGAGAATGACAAGGAGCTGCGTCACCATAGGGTCAGGCGGCTGGCAGAATACAGTGATCAGTTGCACCACATAGAACGGCATCCAACAGACCATGAACACAGCCACCACCAGGAGCACCATGCGCGTGATCTTCTTCTCCGAGCGACGCCGTTGTAGCCAACCAGCCTTTAGGCCGACTGCCCTCATACGTGACACCATGAGGCAGTAGCAGAGACAGATGGCTGTCACTGGTAGAAGGAACCCCAATAGGAAGGTATAGATCACAAAAGCTCCCGACCAGGAGGAAGCCGGCCATAGAAAATTGCAGTCAACGCCACCATCTTGTGAGGGAACAGTGTCAGCAAAGACTATGATGGGCAGGATGACCACCAGTGAGAGGCCCCACACACACACATTGATGGCCTTGGCCACTGTGGGCCGGCGGTAGCGGGCCGCCTTGATGGGGTGCACCACGGCAATGTAACGATCCACACTCAGCACGGTCAAGCAGAAGACGCTGGTGAACATGTTGATGCCGTCTACACTGAGGACCAGGCGGCACATCAGTGAGCCAAAAGGCCAGCGGTGCACGGCTGCAGAGGTGGCCAGGAAGGGCACGCTCAGCATGAAGAGCTCGTCAGCGATGGCCAGGTTCAGGATGTAGATGTTAGTCGCCGTCTTCATCTTAGCATACCTCAGGATTACATAAATGACCATAGCATTGCCCGTGACCCCCAGACAGAACACCAAAGCATATATCGATGGGATAATGATCTTGCTGACATCATGCTCTTGACTGACACTCTCATCTGAAGACAAGTTCAGCAGCCCCGTGGGATCAAGCACTATTTGTGTTTCATTATCTTTTGACATTACTGCTTCTGCTGGGGTTGTTCTTGTATAAATGCAAAGTAACCTCCAATGTTATCCTGGGTCATAGTTAGCACTGTCAATATGTTTACCGACAGAACCCCTGAGATGCAACCATGGAAGAGGACCTTTCCTGACAATGTCAGAGAAGTCTTTTATCAAGTCGGTATGCTCTGAAAAATTCTTTCTTATGGGAAAACATGAAAAATAACATTCATTCTCTGCATTAATTTACTGACTTTCATAAAAATTGTGATTTTTCGTATAATTTACTTTTCTGTCCTTTGAATCATTTGTACTGTCTTCTGCTCAGATCATCTTCAATTGGCCGTCAGGTATATGCAGTGAATAACCTGCAGGCAATAAAAATCAGCAAAAGGTACACAAAAATTAGATATTTTAATGATCAGGTTAATGTTCATTTTTAATATATTTCAACAAGAGCTTTTCCAATAATTGCATGATAAATATCACACTTTTCTTTTCAACGCAGTGCAAGATTCTCATTCTAAATCAATGAAAAACTCTGCAGCATATCAGAGATGGTGAATTTTCACATTCTTGGGGAAAAATGTTTTGATCACTTTAGGTGTGATCCAGGTAAACACATGATTAAAAAGGCATGCCTGTCATTGTGCACACCTGAAAGGTCTGCATCTAGTAATAGAGATTTAAATTTAGCCTGCCTCCTTATGATGTTAATATCAAAGCTGTATTGAGAAATTAAGCTTTAAATAAATTAGAAAATATGCTGTCCGAATAAGAACATAAGAAATTTACAAACGAGAGGAGGCCATTTGGCCCATCAAGCTCATTTAGGAAGAACTCAACTAATAGCCAAGAATTGTTAAAATCTTATCTAGCTCTGATTTCAAGGACCCCAAGATTTTAGCTAGTACTACACTAACAGGAAGACTACTCCATACTCTAACTACATGCTGTGTAAAGAAGTGCTTTCTCAAATTCGATTTAAAAAGTTTTCCCGCTATTTTCCACCTATAGCCACAAGTTGTATTTGAATTAATATTGAAGTTAATATTGACCTATTACAATCTTATATACCTGGATCATGTCCCCCTTTGTCTCCTTTGCTCGAAGCTGAACAGATTCAGCTCAGCTAACCTCTCCTCATAAGACATTACTCTAAGACCAGGAATCATTCTCATAGCCCTATGTTGCACCCTTTCCAAGGCAGCAATGTCCTTCTTAAGGTATGGTGACCAAACCTGCACACAATATTCTAGGTGGGGTCTTACCAAGGAATTGCATAATCGTAGCATCACCTCCCTTGACTTAAACTCCACACACCTAGAGATGAAACCCAATATTTTATTGACCTTTTTAATTACTTTCCCACATTGGCGAGAGTGGGACATGGAAGCATTAACATACACACCGAGGTCTTTCTCATAATCAGCTGTACTTCATATTTCTGTTCCCTGCATACCTTATATTTATCTATGTTAAATTTCATCTGCCAGGTATCAGCCCATTCACTAATTAAATCCAGATCCCATTGTAGCCTCTCCGCTGCTAGATCAGTATCTGCTACACCACCCACCTTGGTGTCATCTGCAAATTTAACCAGCTAACTGTATGTATTGGTGTCAATATCATTAATGTAAATTAGGAATAACAGTGGTCCTAAAATTGAACCCTGCGGTACCCCACTATGAATGCAGGCCTGCTGTGACATTGTGCCTCTAATAACTACCCACTGCTCCCTGTCTGTTAACCTGTTTTCAATTCAAGCTGCTACAGTTCCTAAAATCCCTGCTGCTTTGAATTTAAACAGGAGCCGTTTGTGGGGGACAACATCAAAGGCCTTCTGGAAATCTAAGTAGATCACATCGTAGGCCTTTTTCTGATCAATATCTCTTGTAGCTTCCTCAAAGAACTCAAGTAGATTAGTTAAACAGGATCTACCTCTCCTAAATCCATGTTGGCTATCCCTCAGAATTTTATTTGAATCCAGGTAGTCATTGTCACTTGGATTATACCTTCCATTACTTTTCCAGTTATGCAAGTTAAAGTTATGATAGCTTGATTACTTCTATCTCATTTTTTGAATATGGGTGTTATATTAGCATGCTTCCAATCAGAAGGTACCACACCAGCAGATAAGGATTTCTGGAATATTAAAGTTAAAGGTTGGCTAATAATATCCCTCATCTCTTTTAAAACTACAGGTAAGATGCCACCAGGGCCCTGCGATTTATTTATTTTGAGCTTAGCTATGCTTTGTACCACATCAGCCAATATATATTGGTCATAGACAACGCTGTATTTGTAATAAACCATGGTAAGTTACTTGTGTCCTGAGCTGTGAACACCCATGTAAAATAATCATTAAACTCATTTACTATATCAATTTCATTTTCATTCCAACTTTTAGAGCACTTTTGGAGTTAAAATATTGGAAGAAACTTTTAATGTCCATTACCATAACCATCATTCTCATTCTCCGTTTTGACCCTGGTCAAACCATTCATCCACAGCATTGATTTAATTTCATAGATGTCACCTTAGCCCAGCAGTTTAACCACCCTCTGCCACCTGTCTAACTACCCCTCAACAGCCATGCTCTGGATGGGTTGCCTTTGGGACAGGGTCATATCACACTGCACATGATTCTGGTTTGTCTTCAACTGCTACACAGCATCATCCAAAGCAAGAACCTAAGTAATGAATTCTTAAGCAATTAATATGTCTATAAATAATCTAAGGGGAAATGTGATGTGGCTCACTGTGACAGGGCCCATGTTCGCTGTCATCTGACTCTGTCTGAAGCATCTCCAGAAGAGGGACTAACAGTTTATCTGACTAAGCCTCGGCCCACATAGCTCTCAGTTCTCAGACTCTACATACTGAGTACCTCTTCACCCCCCCGAGACTTTTACTGTCAGATATCTCTGCCTAGAACTCACTGCTCACCCACCTCTCCTCCCAGATATTCTCTATGCCAAGCATCTACTCACCACAGTTCTACAGAGCAGACACCCATGGCCAGCTCCAAAGGGGACCTTGCAGGCGGTCGCAGGGTACTGTATATGTGTTTCTGTATATGTGTGAACCGATGTGTGAACATTAGTCAGCTGCTGCACATCTGACAACTTCAGAAAAAAACACCCTGGGAGTGTGAAGAAGATGATTTATCTGGATTTTCATCACCCCCCTACCTTCTCTCACCTTGCCTGAGATATGTAGGCTGAGATTTTCATCTTGCAGTTTTCCCTATAGTATTAAAGGACATAATATAGTTAAGTGATGTTCTGCACAGCATTTTCAAAGCAATCAGTTTTAGTACATACTGTAGGTACACTTCACTAATACAGTCACACATACTGTTTGTTGAGTGCTGCACCACCAAATACTTGAGTACTTTTATTGTTTGGACTTTTTCTTGTTACCTTTGCTGAATAATAATGGGAAGTCTTGTGAAAGTATATAAATTCTGGACAAGGTATGGGACTGTTCACCTGGATATCACATATGCCTATGAAAGCAACATTTACCAAACACATGCTTTTGAAAATACTACGGCACACTACATACTATATGAATTCATTTATGAATATTGTGTATTATCTCTATAGCTGCATATATTCGTTGAACACGGAAAAACACATTTAAAAAATGAAAAACTACTTCTTAACAGTATGCTGCAAGCCCTTATGAATGAAGTGAAATCTCCAGTGCCCTACAGGTACACGGCAGAAAGCGAGAGGGTGTATTTTTCCATGTGGACAACATGCACTACATTTCAAACCAAATTACCGACAGGTAAATTTACCCACTACATTTATATCACCCTCCTTCTCAGCAGAAGTCAGATTTGTTATCACGTGATACTGAATGTTATTTTCAAAATGAGAGAAAGAGAAGGTCTTACCGCTTTTTCCATTCAGGTGGGCAGCCAGGTGAGAATCATAGCTGAGGCTATTCAGACAGAACACTCTACATATCTGTGTTAGTGTTACTGTAAATGATAAGTTTAAAAAGACAAAGACAATGTCTAATACGATCCAAGCCATCCACAGTAGCCAAGCTCTGCTGTGTTCTATCTATCTTTCTCTCTCTCTCTCTCTCTCACACTCTCTCTCTTTCTCTCTCCCTCCCTCTGACTTGCTGTCACTGTTCCCTCTCTCCGTGTCTCTCAGTGTACCACTTCAGTACTAAGGCTCTTGTATCCAGCAGAAACCTGCCTGCTCTGCCATTGGCTGTAACTTCATTTGAACATTCCCTGCATGCCGACCCCTGCCATGATCAGGGAGAACCCTGGACCACCATGCAGTGTCTCACCTCCAGAGGAACATGGGCTGGTCGCTCTCGAGTCTGGGCGCCCTCCTAGAAGTGCACCTGACCCTGCTGCAGACTCACTCCATGCGGGCATCTCCTTAATTGCTCTCTCGACGGGCAAGTGGAAGACTAGCGGTCCTCTCCCTAACCTCAGATCCTCAGCAGGTGGATTTGAGAGGACCTGCTGGAGGCACACCGATTGGAAGAGAGAGTCCCACTGGGAAAGGGCATCCCTCACATGCCCCAAAGTTGGAGGAAAAAAACCCCTCAGCTCACCACTGCTATGCCTGGCAGCTCTCTGGTCGAAGGAGGAAAAAACAGAAGCTGGTTGTACCCACGTCTCCCCATGCAGCCAGAGCACGTCTTACCTGACTCTGTCTAGTCAGAATCCTGCCTAGAAGGGGCCACTGCTCTGCCCGAGCCTCTGCATCCCTGTCCTTGCAAGATCACCTCTGCTTCTCCTCCAGAGGCTGTCTCTGCCTCTGCTTATCCTCCAGAGGCTGTCTCTGCCTCTACTGTGCCTCCAGAGGCCCTCCCCATCTCTGGGTCCTGGGCCCAGAAAGGGTCGCTTTGCTCATGCTTCAAGCTCCCGGCCCAGAGAGGGCCACTTCACCCATATCTCAGGTGTTAACCCTAAGTGGGGCCACACCACCCGCACCTGGTCCCGCAGCAGCCGTCTAGTCCGAGCCTGATCCGAGAAATGTCACTCTGCCTAAGTCTGACTCAGGTGAGACTGCATCTTCCATCAGGACACCGCTCTGGACTGTTTGGGCGGCTGTGTCTTGCCTGCCGTCGCACAGGAAACCCCAGTGGTCACATCTGTGGCATCATTGGCATCACTGGATGCCCTAGCTATGCCCTGCTCACTTCTAGGTGCCCCAGTTGTGCCCTCTTCGTATCTGTGGTGCCAAGGGCTCCCACCTCGTCTCCTGCCATCCTGTTGGCTCCAGACTTGTTGGCACCCTCCACGCCTGATGGTGCCTTGACGGCACCCTCCTCTTGTGCTCCAGCCTCATCTGCACCCTTAACCTTAACGTCCTGCCCCTCATGTAAACCTGACCCTCCAACTCCTCCCCAATGTGGCCCGGATGAGTCATACCTTTTTTTTTTCTTTTTTTTTTATGCCTTTTAATTACTGTACCTCGTTAGTCTTTATATTAAAGTACATGTTTATCTCATAAGTCCCAGTCTGGTCCTTGACATCATTCCTCCCATTGGCTGTGACCTACCCTGTGCTAGTCTTCCCATTTTGGCCCCTTATTGTCCTGTTTTGTTTCCCTGCTCCCATTCATTTTCCTCAGTAAAGTCCTCTTTTAGTTTGCCTTATGCTTGGCCTCATTTCCTTGTTATGACAAGCAGATCCATATTGTGATTATGCTCCTCTGTTTTATCTCCTGTTCAATTGTGGAGATTTATTTCCAGATTTGCTTTCAAAGCTTGTGCTAAACATCATAGCATTAAAAGGTATTTTTGTTAAGCGTACTGTATTTTTAAACTGATTGTAAGTTTAATAGTTATAGTTAGAATTAGATTTCAGTCAGTGAAACCTGCAGTGCTACTGGGACTCCTATTTTTTTTAACACTTTGCTTAATATTTTATGAAATATTATTTGCAGATTCATACAGACATAAAATACTTCCTGTAATTTGTATGCATGTTTGGAAAATAGACATGTAATCCTCAAAAATCCCCTCCAGTCTAAGGTGATCTGAAGAGCCACGGTTGTTCATTAATAGGGTCATCTTACTATCAACATTCAGTGCAATCTCTTAGTTGTGGTCAACTCACTAACCATAGCGAGAGGGTCTTTTGGATTGTCCGCACAGTCCATTCGTGATTTATCCACTTTTGTTCCCGCTCCGGCAGCAGCCTGCTTTGAGAGTGTTTTTTGTGGTTTTTCCGCCTCCCAAGAGCAACTTTATTTTAGTTATACATGGTTCAGTATGAAGTTATTCTCTGGTAAGTAATTGTTAACTTGGTTATTTTATAAGTTTAATTTCAAAGGTTTTTATCTGACGCTATCAGATAATTAAAAAAGTTCTGTTAACTAAAAATTAAATACGTTATATAAATGTACTGGGCTGGGATTAAGGGATGGGGTCATAGTGAGTTAGGTAATTATGGGGCCAGCTCAGTGTTGTGTTTGCAAGATGTTTGTCCTTCTGGATGTTTGCGTCCAGTCGGACCTCATCTGTGAGCGATGTAAGTTAGTGGACTCACTCATGGTCAAGGTTCGTGATCTTGAGGAGCAGCTGGCTGTCATCCGACACAACACGGACTTAGAGAAGATAGTTAGTATGCGTTTTTAGGAGACAGTGTGTAGTGTGTGTGTTGCAAATGGGGAGGGGGGAGAATGAAGAACAGGTGGGTCGAGAGAGCTGGGTGATCATAGGTCATAGATGTAGAAAAGGGCGTACACAGTTTACAGAGGCGGTGTCTAACCGCTTTCAGGTGCTTCCAGCTTTAGAGCCGGAAGAGACTGGGGAGGCAGGTGGGCCCTTGGGCACTGAGGAGCCCCCTCCCCCCAAGAAGAGGGAGGTTGTGGTAGTAGGGGATTCAATTATTAGAGGTGTAGACATTTCTGTATCCACCTGTGAAAGAGGGTCCGGTACGGTGTCTTGCCTGCCTGGTGCCCAGGTAGGGAACCTTCCGAATCGTGTGCACAGGCTATTGGCACCAGCTGGGGTGGATCCAGTTGTCGTGGTGCATGTTGGCACCAACGACATAGGCAAGGGTAGAAGGGCTGTTCTGCAGGATAAATTTATAGAAGCCGCAGATAAGCTTAGAAGCAGAACATCCATGATGGTGTTCTCTGGAATACTTCCCATGCCACATGCAAGCCAGGCTAAGTTAGCTGAGATAAGAAGATGAAATGTATGGCTAAAAGGGTGGCGTAGGAAAGAGGGGTTTAGGTTTATGGGGCACTGGAAGACCTTCTGGAACAGGTGGGACCTGTTCAAGCTGGACGGGTTGCATCTGAACCAGAGGTGAACCAGTGTATTAGGGAGGCGTATGTGTAGAGTAGTTGAGGAATGTTTAAACTAGGGACTGCAGGGGGCAGGGAGGTTAGTTAAGAGGTGGGGGGGACGGAAAGCACCAAATAATATTAACAGTGGGCACTGTAAAAAGCCTGATGATGGAGACAATGATGGAGAAGAATATAATATGGAACACGCTGTTCCATATGGACCAGATAGGCAAGAAGGGAGGTGGTGTTGCAGTATATGTAAGAGAAAACTTGCAGGCAAGGGAGCTCACTGATAAAAATAAAAGTACAGAAGCTTTCTGGGTAAAACTAGATGCTAAAAACTCTAGATGGCCTAATTGTTGGCTTTTTTATAGAACAACTAATGTAGCTACAGAGGAAAGCAGAATGTTATATAACCATATCAGGATTGTAAGTAATAAAAATGATGTGGTAGTTATGGGTGATGGGTTTAATTTACCTGGGATACAGAGGGACATGTCTTGGGACATTGTTTTCTTACTCAGTTTGTTAATACCCCTACCAGGGGAGAAGCCATTCTTCATCTTGTTTTCTCTAATAACCAGGACAGGATTGGAAAATTAGTGGTTTTAGAACCACTGGACAGTAGTGATCATAACATGGTTAAATTTGAGGTTAATTTTAATGTCTGAAGAGCAAAGTCCAAAATAACTATATACTGTACAATGTTAGGAAGGCTAACTTTAATGGTATGAGACTGACACTAGAAACTTTATACTGGATGGAGTTAAATAGCAAGACTGTTGAAGAGGCATGGGAATTTTTTAAAAGCACATTGTTGCAAGTGCAAGAGAACTTACTAAGGAACTTACTAAGGAAATTAAGAATAACGTCAGGAGGAAAAGGGCTCTCTTCCACAAATGGAAATAAACTAACAATTTCAAAATAAAGCAGGAGTATCTAAGTCTACAGGTTGAATTAAAAACTAACATTAGACTCGCTAAGAGGAATGTAGAAAGGAAGCTTGCATTTGAGGCTAAGGATGACATTAAAAGTTTCTTCTAATATTTTAACTCCAAAAGAGCTCTAAAAGCTGAAATCACTAATCTACAGCAAGGGTCTAATATTTAAAATGAAATTGATATAGCTAATGACTTAAATGATTGTTTTGCATGGGTAATCACTGTAGAGGACATGAGTAACATAACATCCATATTCAAAAAAGGGGATAGAAGTACAGGCCAATTACTTTAACTTGAATAAATGAAAAATAATGGAAGCTATAATCCAAGTGAAAATGGTAGATTACCTGCATTTAAATTCTGAGGGATAGGCAACATGGATTTAGGAGAGGTAGATCCTGTTTAACTCATCTACTTGAGTTCTCTACAAGAGAAATCAATCA